TCTGCAAGACTGCGAAGGACCAGGAATCCGTATTTTTAACGAGCACCTTCTCCCCACCACAACTGCCTGCTTCTTAACATCTTGCACATAGTAGGTGGCCCAGTGACTAGTTGAATGCCTACAGCATGCCAGGCACTACGAAATACTCAACCTGGGGATCCCGAATCCTGGCACGTGCGCGCGAGCGCGCACAGGCATGAGCGCGCGCGCGTACACAAACCCGCCCCCAGGATGTAGCCACTATCATCACCCCCATTTTACAGAGGGGTAAACTGAGGTTCAGAGAGGAGACATAGCTGGGTAAGACACTCAAAGCGAGACAGGGGTCCAGATCCTCATTAGCGCCTGATTCCCGGGGGAGGGAGGGGACCGAGCGGTGAACAGGGGAGCGCGAACAGGCGGGGGCACAGAGACTCGCCGCGGCCTTCAGATGCGGCCCCGCCCCCACGAGGGACGTGAAGACGCGGACCCCGCGCAGCGTGGGGACATGTGACCGACTGCAGAGGCCGCGCCGCTTCCCCCGCCCGAGTTCTGCGCGCTCCGCCGCAGGGTGCAGATCCGGGGCGCCCGCCTGGGTTTGGGGCGCAAGAGCAGAGGCGGAGCCAGGGCGGAGCCAGCGCTCCCCGTCCACCCCCCCGTTCCCAAACGAAAGCGAAACGGAGCGCAGGAAAGGAAGGGCGGAGCCGGCCTGGAGGCCCCGCCCCCTGCCCTGCGCGGCCGGACCGACGGGCGCGCCCAGGTAGGGGGCCGCTGAGCGCGCAGTGCGGACCCTCGCGGGGACCTACGCCGCCACCATGTCTCAAGAAGGTGTGGAGGTAGGAGATGGCTACAACTGGGCCGGGGGCCCGCGAGAGATGCTGAGGAGGAGCTAGGGGCACGGAGCGGGCTTCGCAGTTGCTGGGGACTCCATCCAAGCCCAGACCTTCCCCACAAGGCTGGCACTCGTCCACCTCGGAAAGGAGAGTGACCGCCACATGCCCCGGAGCAAAATGCGGCCTCCTCGAGGAAAAGCGGGGGCTGCTGGGTCAAGGGTCAGAGGCCAGGGGTCATCTGGCCGGCCTCATCCCTTAGCCTGGGACGCTCGCCCTAGTCCGCTCCCTCCCCCAGTTGCCGGTGGGGACTTTGGCTTTTTCCAGGAAATGCAGTAGAGGGATTGGGGGGGGGGGTACGGAGGCCAAAACCCAGGGTCAAGTTCAGGCCGTGAAAAAAGGAAGCCTAGGGATGGAGGAAGGGCAACTGCGCTCTCCTTCTCCCATCTGTCCCCACCCCAGCTGGAGAAAAGCGTCCGGCGCCTCCGGGAGAAGTTTCATGGAAAGGTATCCTCCAAGAAGGCGGGGACTCTGATGAGGAAATTTGGCAGCGACCACACTGGAGTGGGGCGCTCCATCGTGTATGGTGAGCAGGTCGGGGTCCTGCCTGGTCAGAGTTAAGCTGGGGAGCAGGGAGGTGGTGTGGTCTGTGCTGGGGGCTGGAAGAGGCGATGAGATCATCTCTTTGGGGGGCGGTCTGGGTCGGGGTTCTGGGGGCCCTGAAATTCCCACAAAACCTTTCAAGGGGCCTTCACTTACACTTAATCTCCCCACCAGGGGTAAAGCAGAAGGATGGACAGGAACTGAGTAATGATCTGGATACCCAGGTAAACTGCCCCCCTCCCCTCAAAACACGTGGTAAGGGGAGGAAGAATGGAAGGGTCAGGCTCATCCATGGCAGAGCTCCTTCTATGCACTGTGCATCCACAACTCATGGTCTAGCCTCATTCACTTACTCACCTCAGTCGTGGATCTGACCAAGGAGGCTGCAAACCGGAGGTGCTCATTACATGCTGATTGTATGAAATGGAAGAGAGAGACAAGAAACTAGGCAGTGAAAAGAATCAGGATTATCATCATTACAGAGGAGCCAAAGAGGTCAGGGAAGGCTTCCTGGAGGAGGTGGTACCACATTCTTCAAGCCTAGGGAGGAGTGATCCCTGGGAAGGGGAGGGGTTGGAGATCTTCCTGGAAGAGAGGGTGACCTGAGCAGAGGAACTTGCAGACAGGCTGGGACGAGCGGGAGATGGGGCAGGAAAGAGGGGCAGGGAAGCCCGTGTGAATGAATGAATAAAACAATGAATGAATGAAAGGCTTTGTATAGCCACTTTGCCCCTTAGATGGCCTTGGTAGCTGGTGCACTGGTTTGCCTGTCTGAAAGGGCCCAGCACAGAGTTGTTAAAGAGTATAATAAAGTATGTTTTATACTTTAACATTTATATATTTACAGTTATACATATAATGAGTGTAATAAAACTAGCAAAGAGTATCATTGATTGAGCACTTTCCCTGCAGTAGGACTCCAGGAATTCTACCTGTTGACTTATTGCCACAGGTCCTGTAAGACAGGTCCTATTATTTATCATATCCACTTGACATATGAGGAAACTGAGACACAGGGTGATGAAGTCACTCACCAGGTTCATGCTGAATGCAGGTGCCAACTGGGATTTGAACCCAGGTCACCTAGAGTCAGAACCTGTACTCCTAGACGTCCTTCATTAGGGAGAATGGCTTGGCCACGACCCTACAGCTGGAAGTGATGAGGCCAGGATTCCAACCTGTGGCTCTCTGAATCCAGAGCTCAAGCACTTAGCCTAAAGCAGCATAGCCTCAAAGAGGCGACCTGTCACAATGCCAGCAAGTGTGTGCCAGCATGAAGGGAGCACAGGGCCCAGGCCTGTTGCCCCACACTCACTCAGGGTAATCTTAGGCAAGCCCTCTCAGGGCTCTGGGCCTCAGTTTCCCCATCTGAGCAATGGGGATCACAGGTGTGCCCACCTCTCAGGGTTGCTATGAGGACAACTGAGATCACACACCCTTGCCCTCAGGAAGTGGAGGCTGCTCAATTAACTCCTCTTGAGTTGGGGACACCTTACTCATGTAGGGCCAGAACCCTGCCTCCCCCTCCAGAAGCCCTGCCCCCAGAAAAGAGGCATGAGCCACCTCCCCAGTTTCTGCCCCTGGTGTTTCCGCCCAGGACCCCCCAGAGGACATGAAGCAGGACCGAGACATCCAGGTGAGTCCAGGGTGTGGGACAGGGAGGTGAGCGGTGAGCACAGCCCTGGGGGTGTCCATACGTGAGGAGGAGGGACACTTTAGGGGCTGGAAGAGGACTGACCACCCTCCTGGCCCCACCCACCCCATTCTGCAGGCGGTGGCAACATCCCTCCTGCCGCTGACAGAAGACAACCTACGCATGTTCCAGCGTGCCCAGGAAGACCTCATCCCTGCCGTGGACCGGCAGTTTGCCTGCTCCTCCTGTGACCATGTCTGGTGGCGTCGCGTGCCCCAGCGGAAGGAGGTAATGACCCAACCCCTGCCCTTGGTTCTGTCTTGGCTCTGCTCCCAACCCCCACTCCCAGTGTCCAAACCAACTGACCCAAGAACATCGGCCTCTGAGAACCCAACCCCGGAAACCTGCAGCCTCAGAGATCAACCCCAATCTCAGCCCCAACGCTGACCCAGAGCTGGACTTCCAACTTAACATTCAACTGGAGAAGCTCAACTTACCCCTGAACTCTGACTACGCAGTTTGACCGCTACCACAGAAATCAAACCTGAGCCCCAAATCTGGCTTCTGAACCCCCTGACCAGTGGCGTGCTTCTGGTAAATGCCTAATAACCGGCCCTTGTAGGAAGTGCCCCCAGACTTACAGTGTTTGCCAGTTTCGATGGTGTAAACCCCACCGTGACCACCATCAGGCTATCAGTGCCCATCTGCTCCGCTCTTCTCTACCCCTAGGTGTCCAGATGCAGGAAATGCCGGAAGCGCTATGATCCGGTGCCCAGTGACAAGATGTGGGGCGTGGCTGAATTCCACTGCCCCAAATGTCGGCACAACTTCCGGTGAGGGCACAACTTCCCCGAGAGGGAGCTGACCCCACCCCCTGACCCTCGGCCCCGCCCCAGCCCCG